CAGTATTTGTAGAAGTACCTCCCAGCAGCAGAGCTCAGACACCCATAACTGTTCTCTCCTTTTCCACGGTGGGATGGGGTGGGTGGGAATGGACAAGTGGATGTTGCAGCCACGTTGTTCCCTCTGTCCTGGTAAAGGCAGTTACCACTTTCTTGGTTCTTTCAGCTGAGCTCCTTCATAACTGCCAAGAGTTACTTGTGATAATACTTAAAGAGTTATTAAGCTGCAGGAAATCTTATAGGGAATCAGTTTATTTATTTACTTATTTATTTTAATGATTTACTCTTTCAGGGCTGAGTGCTAAGGCCTTATATATTCAGGGCTTAGGTTAGGCCAGGACTCCAAGGTGAAAGATCTTCTCATCAAGGTATGAAAGAGTGACAGAAACTTGCATTTTACCAACTGAACTTTTACTAATGTGGAGTTGTTGCTGTAGCACTGTAGTGTTATCTTGCAGCTGATTGCATAAGGAGTTTGTTGGATTTAACTCTTTGTGATTTGGTTTTGAAACACTAATTGCATGACAGCTTAAGTTCTTTGACACTTAGCTGCATTTTTTTGCTGTTTTTGTGAATGTCCCTTTACCCTGGAACTGCTTGTCTGTGTGTCATCAGCAGGTTAAACTTGCTGAGCACGAACTGTACAATCTTAGGTACTCATATTGCATGTAAAGGAAAACTGTTTATTCTTCTAGACTATTCCAGTTTACCCAGCCCATTGGACTGGAATGCTGCCCTTGTCCAAGACAGAGCTTTCTAAAGAGGTGAAAGCATCCATAAATCCAGAAGCCACAAGTACATGGACAGCTTCATCTGTGACTTCAAAGAGGTCTTTGTAGTCATGCCACGGTTCCCAAACTGCTTTCTTCCAATAATGTTGTTCTGATTTCAGATTGGAAAAATCCGGCTTTCCTGTTCACTTGCTTCCAGAGGTGGGAGACCCTGGAAGCATTGCAGGCAGGACAACCCGTGCATGGCATGGAATACCCAAAGGAGTAAAAGTAGGAATTGCTCTGGGAGATTTCCAGTGCTCTGTTTATTCCTGTCTGACTGAGAGGACTGATGCAGGTATGGTCATTTTGATGTCTAATTTGTTTTCCTCGTTGTCCTCCTTCAGGGATGGGATAATAAAACACTGATTATTTTCTTTTTTTTAATTTCTTTTTTCTAGTTCTTAATATCAGTACCTCTGCTCAGCTGACCATATCAATGCCTTCGGGTTTCCAGCCTCCAGAGACACCAGATCCTTCCTCAGCTGTTACTTATTTCCCCTACTTCAGTGGGGATTACTTGGCAGTGGCAGCGTCACTCAACGGGGGCAACGTGCTGGCAGCATTTGTGGGCATGGTGGCACAGTGGACAGAGGAGCTGGGTAAGTCCTTTTCAAGTTGTTCTGTCCTGCCATACAGGGAACAAGGATGTAACTCTTGGGCCAGGCTTCCTGGATCTCTGGAATTTTCCTGCTGATGAACATGCTGGGACAGTCGTGCTTGGACTCCACGTTCACGTTGCCTCTAGGTCTTCTTTGGTTTCGAGGACAGAAGAGAATTACTTTGTGCAAGTTGATTTTCACAAGGGAAAAATGGCAGATTTGAGGACAACAGCCTCTCATTTTGTGTGACTGCAGTCCAGAGGAGTCCCTTGGTTGGGTCCCTTGATTCTGCCTTTTGCAGAACTCTAAACTTCTAAGTGCTTTAAATGTGGTCTTCACAGATTGTTTAATAATCTCTTGGGTTTTGCAATGCAAAAGTAAGCTCTGAAATTGTTCTTTCAGCGAGTACTTGAGGTGAGCTCCACCTTCACAAGGAATCCAGACACTGAAGCTGCTGTCTGCCGTTAGTGCCTGCTGTTGCTTTGTGTAACTTGGCACAGTGCAGGTGACCAGGAATAGCTGTATTGCCAGGAAAGGCAGTTGCAGAGAAGGTTTTAGTATCACACATCCTAGATACAGTTGGGTGGGAGAACTGTGGTTCATGATCCTGGAAAAAACAGTCACCCTTGGGACGTGGAAAAAGATATCCAATATTTTGCTGAACAGATGGATAGGTGTCCACTGTAAGTGTCCACCAGACTAGTAACCTGGTATTTCCCATCTGCAGGACTTCAGGTCCAGGAATCTGCCATCTATACACGGATAATCCAAGCAGCCTTGGCCCAAAACCACAGCGAGCTCTCAGTCCGCCCAACCATATTTGGAGAGAGACACCTTCCCGAGCAGTTGGGATCCGTGACCAACATCGGTGCCTCTGAGCTGTCCCTGGGCCGTGTCACCAGAGCTGTGTGCCGTGGGATCATCCAGAACCTCTGCTCCATGTTCTCTGTGCAGCACCTGGTGGACACGGGCATCAGGAGGATCCTGGGCAGCGGCTCTGCCCTGGCCAGGAACGAGGTGCTGAGGCAGGAGGTGGAAAGGACTTTTCCCTTCCCCGTAGTTTATGGGAAGGATGTCGATGCTGCTGTGGGGGCTGCCATGGTGATGTTCCATAGGAAATAAAGGGCTTGTTTGGAACCGCCTGAGATGGAGCTTCTGTTTTCTTCCTGGCTGTGCAGTGTTTCTTTTCACTTCATCCTCACTCATTACAGAGGGGAAAAAACCCTGCATTTAATGTCCAATTCCCCTTCTGGGTCTGCACATTTCGGTGCTCTGCCATTCCCATTTGTGAAATGAGCAGTAATTACCACATTACATTTGTCTGAGTGACTGGGAGAGATCCATTAACTTTCTGCATAAAATGGTGCTTCACACGAGGCTCATTTTCCTGGTAGGAATATGTTTGGAAGGCCTAGGAGAGAAGAGCAGCTCTAACTTCCTCTGATGCTTTCATTAGAGACTTCTTGTCCTTAAGCTGTCTCACAATATACAGACGTAGAGCCAGCAGACCATGGTGTCAGCCTTGTCTGGGGGGGTTTGGTGGATCCTGCACAGAACAAATGCCAGTTTTCATGGATTGCATGTTGTCTCTGTAAAAGATGGAATGATACCTTGGACTGAACACTGACAAAATAATGAAAATAAACCATGGAAGGTTGTTTCTATTCTGTTTGTTTGTACTCTCTTTGGGTGCATGGTCAAAGGCATGACTGGGCTGCTGGAGATGCCTGAAGTGCAGGGATTGTAGCCAGTGGAAAATGCATTTACAGGGTGAGAAGTAATTCTTTATTTGACATACATAGTTATGTTTGGGTTTTAGATCAGGGCCTCTCCGAAACAATCAGAATTTGAGATAAACTGGAGGAGCTATTTTAGTGTATTTGATCTCAAGGTGTTTCTTCTTGTGCCCTTCCTGTATTGTATCAAATTAAGCTTTAATCAATTAGCCTGACTAATCTGGTTTTAATGTTGTGTATTGCTCATGTGCATTCCCTTAAAATTTCCATGGTTTTGTCCCCCGTGTTATGCTCTTAGACTTTATTTCTTCCCTTACTCTTAATTTTAACATGAAAACATTCTCTAGTTTCAGAGTAAACCAAGCTATATGTACACTTGTTCTGCTCAAATGACACTGGGAAGCAAGGAAGATGTTTTCTACATCAGCAGGTGTTCCCACTGAAATATGGACATGGATTGCTATCTTGCTCATTGGCAACATCAGGACTGACATTTTTATAGTGAAAAGCTGTGCTGAGTTCGGAGATTTTAATTACAGAGATGCTGAATTTCCAACTCCCTCCTCCCTCTCTCTCTGCATCTGTTCCATGTCATGTTCAGGCAACTGTTGGCATATCAAGGAATTACAGAGAAAGTGCAGACTAAATTAAAGAAAAGTCTGAATTTGTTACATGTTGTCTCCCCTCTTACATTATGATATTTTTGCATCAGCACATCTGCTTTCATTTTTATTGAATCACTGGAAAGAGCTGATGATACTGTTCCTGTGCCCTGTTTCCCATGAGATCAAGTGACATTTGCTTCCGGGAGCTGGTGAATCATGGCCTGGTATGAGGTTCTGTTAGCAAAAGCAAGGCTGTCTCTGAGCTGCAGGCCAGCCCTGGATTCATCTTTAGGATCTCTGGCACATCTGCTGATGGTTTTCCATTTGCAGTGATGGAGAGGGCTCTTAGTGGGTAAAACCCCTCTCAAGCACAGGAGTTGCACAAAACCTTGGCAGCGTGTTGGAGGCAGGCTCAAGGAAAAGGAATAAATTCCTTCTTGCTTATTACTGCCTTATTTTGACAAGCACTCACATCTCCCAAAAACCAGGTCCCTGCTGAGATGCAATATGAGATGTCCAACAAGTGTTGCAAAAAGCAGTGGAGAAGGAAATAACATCTTCCCAGAAAACGCAGGCCAAGCAGCTGCTAAAGGAGCCCTCAGGAAGCAGCAGAAAACTCCCAAAGTGCATCCATGGGAGCACAGTGAGACTGGAGGAGCTGGTGCTGGAACGGGAGAAGAGGGAGAAGGAACATTTAGCAAAAGGCAGCAGCAAAAAGCCAGAGACTGAGTAAGGGAGACCCTCCACTGCTCCAGGGAGTTTTCCTACTGAGTCCCTGCTCTGGAAATGGTGAGGGGGTTAATTGTGATGTTGAGTGAGAGGCTCCAGGAGCAGCGGCTGAGGACCTGCCTCGTTGGTAATCTAGATTAATGCATTAATAAATAGGTTTGTTACTCCATTTGATACAATGCCATAGGGTGTTCTAGGGAGCATAATTAGTTTGCTATTAAATAGGCAAATGTATAATTCTTTTATACATCTATGGATAGATAGATGGCAGGACTAGAAAGACAGCTGCCTTTTGCAAAATGTAGCCCAGATCAGTTCGTTAAATAATTTCATAATCTCATAACCTCAGGGGGCTTGGGGGTTGCTCCCAGCCTGTCACCCCAGCCTCTGGAAAAATTCTTTCTCTAAACCAGTTTTTGTCAGAAAGATCATATTTAAATTATATATTTAACAACATTTGACACAGTTCCTCATTTTTGAGAGTATTAGATCCATCTTGGATTAGATAAGATATTTTTCCTAATTAATATTTAGGAGCTGACTGTTACATATATAATTGAAATAAAACCTGGTAGGAATGTGGAACAATGGAAAGGCTTTAGGACTTTCTGTCATTGGTTCTTGCTCAGCTCTGTTCTGAATCAGCTCATCTTTAAAATAATTCTCTTTAAATCAGCCACCCAAGAAAGATGTCCAGAAAGATCACTGTGGCCCATTTTACAAAGTTTCACAAATTGAAATGAAACTGTGACCCACAGAAACAATTGCTGTCTGGTGGTTTGGATGTTTTTTTTTTTGCAAAGTTGAGTGTATTTACAAGAGGAAATCTGGAGAAGAATATCCATTACTAAATGCAATTAAAAGGGAGGAAAAAACAACAGCAACTCACTGCAATTCTTGTAAAGAGCTCTGCGAAACCTTTGGGAATAGAAGCCACTGATGCTTCTGGTTCCAGAATTGTTCTTAATTATCTTATTGCTCTATTCTGTCTTCTTCTGGTGAACTTCCCTGGAATCTGAGAATCAGCACATGCCACACTTTTGCAGACAAATGAAGTGGAGAAGCAAACTCTGAGGGCTTTTCAGTCCAGGCACCTTGGAAGGAGGAATATCTGGCACCAAATTCCTGGAGATCACTGGGTGTTTACTGAGACTGGACTATTTTTTGGAAGACGGGATTTTTGTCAGTATTTGTAAGTTCTGCATGTATATTTGTGGTTAGTTCTTTCTAAACTCTCTTTATTATTTATTATAAGTTGTGATGTGGCAAGGCTTTCTATCAGAAATATTTCCTTATTTATTGTGTCAAATTTCAATGCATATGGGTTTCAGGGAGTTCAAGTAGTTTACATTTTTAGTAGAACAGATAATATTTTTTAAAAGAATTCCCTTGCAAATTCATACTCATGAGGAAATGCAGCTTTGTCTTCCTTATCAAATATATTTTCAACAGGGTTTGGAAAGGAAAGCTCATACAGTGACTAGAGCAGGATTGAGCCTGTTCTGCACATTTTAAAATTGCATTTATTCTGTGGGAAATAAGTGATTCTATTTTCCGTGGCCATCTCGCCGATGTTTTTGGCTCAATCCACGTTAATTTAAATAAGACACAAAATTAAAATTATACATGACTGTATTCCCACTGTATGTTTTTCTATTTTTTTAATAGAACTGGTTTTATTCCTTTTCTATTGAAATAGTTGTTCTACTCTAATTTTAGTGTCCTATTCCAAATGGAAATATTTTGATTTCTTCTTTATAGAACAAATAAATTAATAAGTTATTATATTATTCTTTCTGAGTGATTCTAAGGACACAAAGAACTTGAAAGGTGGGTGAGTTAAATTGCAGTTATTAGTATTTTGTCCATACTATGCTGGTTTGCTTCCAATTGATGTTTTCTTTACATGGAAAATACAAATGCCTGACCCAAGTTTCTTTCCTGTCTTACTTGCACAGAAAAAGGTAAGTGACCCTTGATATAAATATGAAGTATTCCCACAGAACTGAAAACCCAGCTTTAATGTACAATGTGGGCTTTCAGACAACCCTCAGAACATTCTCGTGAAGAGAAACAACCTTGAAGCCTGGTTATGGTGTTGTTTTCACACTGGATTTACACAGAAGATTACTGACCACTGTAATGTGGTTTATAATGTAAGGCTTTTTAAAGATTGTGTGCCATTTCTGTGCTCAAAGCTGTGTGATTTCCGAGCAATGTAGGATTTCAGAGGATGTTTCTGAGCCAGTGGTGCAGCAGTTGGAATATGACGTATTCCTGTCTCCACTGCTGCAGTTCCAGAACATTTTGAATTCAGTGGCATGCAGATAACATTTGTCTGCTTAAAACTGTTTGATAAGAAAGGGGAAAAAAAATAAAATAGCAGCTTGTTCTATTTTCAGTGGAGTGTCTTATCTGTGAGGTGGGGGAGGCCCCAGGACAGGCTGCCCAGAGAAGCTGTGGCTGCCCCATCCCTGCAAGAGTCCAAGGCCAAGTTGGACAGGGCTTGGAGCAACCTGGGCTAGTGGGAGGTGTCCCTGCCCATGGCAGGGAGGTTGGAATGTGATGATCTTTAAGGTCCCTTCCCACCCAGACCGTTCTGTGGTTCTGTATTTGTTAACTCCTGTAAAGTTCTTTGTGATTGTAAATCAGACGTGTGGTCTTACAGTCACCCCTTACCCGTGGTAACCTTTCCCTTCCTGTTCCTGTGTCTCATGTTTGACACTCCTCTCTCAGGAGTCACACACCAATTTTCATCCAGCACTGCCAGAATTCTGGCAAAGCCATTAAGTGATAGTTTTCCTGTGTGCAGGAAGCCCCTCTGTGCTCAGCGACCCTGTGTTGGCACCAACAGGCTGCTTTCACCTGCCTGATACAATCATGAGAAGAAATTATGGCACAAACCAGTTAGAAAGTAGAGGATGTTGAGGCTTGAGGTTTTTCAGGCTTTACCAGTGACTGGAGGGGGATGAGGCCCTGTTTTTAAGCAGGAGTCAGCTCTGCAGTGGGATGGCTGGCAAGCCCTGGGGTGCTCTGGCTGGCTTTGTCCAGTCTGGAATGGGGAAGGGCAGTGAGGATAGCAACAAACATGGAGCTAATGACCTACTAAAGTGTTCCAACTCTGTGCACGGTGAATAGGTGTCCATCTGCCTCATTTCTGGGATGAGAGCAACCAATCCACTCCCTGCTGTTCATGGAGAGTGTTCTGAGGCAAAAAGGGACTCGTGGCCCTGTAAAATGCTGACCTTGGGTGTTTGTGTCCTTCCTCACAGACTGCCTGCTCACCATGTCCTCCATCCTTGGGAAGATGAAGAAATTCGGCAGCTTTGACATGGAGGAATCTGAAGGGGCAGATGAACATGCAGAAGGGGAGGACTCTGTCCTGGAAACATCTGACAGCTCCCAGGGCCCCCCCAGCACCAGGGTGCAGCCACCCAAGAGCAACATCTTTGCGAGGCGTGGGCGGTTTGTGATGGGGGACAGCGACAAGAACATGGCTCCCATGGACTCCTTTTACCAGATGGATCACCTGGTGGCACCTTCTGTCATCAAATTTAATGTCAATTTGGAGAGGGGGAAACTTCACAAGTAAGTTTACCCCTTCCCAAGACCTGGTTGTGAGGAACAGTTTGCCAACTGCAGGCCATGGTTCTTAGAGCACCGTTTGTTCTCTCCACACGGGCGTGACTGGTTTTTTCAGTTGTTTTCTCTGCCAAAATGGGGAGTGTTGCAATTGAAAGGGATAGTGGCTGTTTTGGCATCTCTGAAAATTCAGAGGATCGTGGATATTTTGCCCAAAATTAGCAGTAGGCCTTAACTGACTCTTCAGTGAATGGACATCACTCAGAATGAGAACAAGGAATCGCTTGGCTCCAGACCTGCAGTGTCACTGCCATACTGGAGTGCCTCTTCTAAGTCTTGTTCTCAGCTTTTCAGCAAGTAATACATAACTTTATCAGAACAGTTGCTTGCAGGCTTTGTTGATCTTGCAGATCCATCTATTCTAACCTGTATTTACTACTTCACGCAAGCAATTAAAAAATATTATCCTGACAGTTTTATAAAAATTCTGTTAAACATCTAACTTTTAGTATCTGACTTTTACTAACCAGAATTCACCCTTGTTAGGCTCCTGTCTACAGATTCCATCACAGGCTGCTCAGAAAAAGCTTTCAAATTTTACGACCGCAGAAGGATCTTTGATGCCGTAGCCCGAGGCAACACAAAGGACCTGAGTGACCTGCTGCTCTACCTTAACAGAACCTTCAAGCATCTCACAGATGAGGAGTTCAAAGGTACCCTTTAGTGCCACATGCCTTCAGCTGCCCTCTTCTTCTTCCAGTAGTGCTCCTGAGATGAAAACAAAAAAAAAAAAGATAATTATGTTCTATGTCTGCAGGAGGTCTTTTAATAGCCACTGCTGCCCTATTGATTGGGCAGCCCATTGATTGTAAGGTTACAGGAGCTGAAATTTTCTCTGCAAACCCCTAAATGAGTTTCCTTGTCTTTTGAAAAGCACCTCATTAATTCCTGCTTGCCTGGGTGTAGATGGTGGGTCTGTAATCACTTCAATACACCTTCAATCTTTTGTGTTACAGAGCCTGAAACTGGGAAAACCTGTTTACTGAAAGCCATGCTGAACCTGCATGACGGGAAAAATGATACCATTCCCTTGCTGCTGGACATTGCAAGGAAAACTGGAACTCTGAAAGAGTTTGTTAATGCAGAATACACTGACAACTACTACAAGGGTAAGAGAAGTGGCTGCTGCAGGGAATCCTCGGGGTGCTGAGACTGAGCCTCCTGCACGAGGCCCTCTGCCTGAGGATGCAGCACCCCAAAGTTCCATTGTGTGGTTCACAATCTGTGCATTTGTGCTGGGAGTGTGTTCTGTGCAATATTCTGCCATTTTTAATATAGCAAGTTCGGGGACTGTGCATCATTTGCTGTTTGTGTGGGGATTTTTTCTCTTTTGTTCTGGAGCTTTTTAGTCTGCAGAGCTCTGGGTTCCACCATCTGACATGGTGCTGAGTGACCTGCAGTGCTGAAAGCTCTCAGTGTGTGTGCCAAGTGCTGAGGATTTCTGTCTGATGGGTGTCTCTGTAGGCCAGACTGCTCTTCACATCGCCATCGAGAGAAGGAACATGTACCTGGTGAAGCTCTTGGTCCAGAACGGAGCAGATGTTCATGCAAGAGCCTGTGGGGAGTTCTTCAGGAAAATCAAAGGGAAATCTGGCTTTTATTTTGGTAGGAGTGAGCACAGTATGGGCTTTACTGATGGAGTTATCCTAGCATCACCCCAAGTGCAAGCTGTGAAATAATCCTGTTTATGTGGGACTGGAGGCTCAGAAGTACCAGATGGGCTGTTCCACCATCAGGACAAATATTTACTCCCAAAAACTGAGCTTATAAACAAACACAGTTGGTAGTTAATGGTGTTCAGTTGTGAGCTTGGTGTTCTCTGAGCCCTGTATCCTTTGAAAGGTTTTAACCTTCTGCTCCTGTCCTGTCAGTGCTTTTTTGAAGCAGCTGTGTTTCTGTGATGCAGTAAAACCAAAGAAAATCTGATTGTAACAGAGGAATCCACATCATCTTAGTGCCAGATGAAAACAACATGAACTTTATGGTTATGCACCTGTAAGTAGTGGACTTTCTGACCACTCCTTCTATTTGCTTCCTGTAGGGGAGCTGCCCTTGTCCCTGGCTGCCTGCACCAACCAGCTCTGCATTGTGAAATTCCTCCTGGAGAATCCCTACCAGGCAGCCAACATTGCTGCTGAGGATTCCATGGGCAACATGGTCCTGCACACCCTGGTGGAGATCGCAGATAACACCAAGGATAACACCAAGTTTGTAACCAAGATGTACAATAACATATTGATCCTTGGGGCCAAGATTAATCCAATCCTGAAGCTGGAAGAGCTCACCAACAAGAAAGGGCTGACTCCATTAACCCTGGCAGCCAAAACAGGGAAGATAGGGGTAGGTGAGAGAAGGTGTTTTACTGTCCCGTTATTGTATCAAGTTACAGAGAGCACGTGTAAAACATTCATGCAAGATGGGGTTTATAACTTTATTATTGGGGCCTTTTAGTTAATAGGAACTGATGCTGCAGCTTAACATGCAAAACTGTACAGTTCTTAAAGGCCATGAAGTGTGTGTGTGGTCTGTGCCCAGCTGGTATTATTCATGCACCCCTGGTGTGCAAGGCAGCCCAAGAGGAAACCACTGGAACCCTTTTGCCTGCTGATACAACTCATCCTCTGGCAGTCCCCATGCAGTGACTGTGTGCTCAGAGAGGTGTAACATGCACCTCTGCTTTTCTCTTGCAGTTTTGAAACAGATAATGCCAAGCTGTAAGAGGTATTTATATCTCTCATCTCCCAGCATCCACTAAGAAAATTAACTGTGTTTCCTTGAGAACACAGTGCTCCAGTAGTTTGGCCTCAGCTCATTTAAAGTAGGGAGAAACTACCCATCCTTTCTTGTGGAGATGCTGAGGAACAAGAAGTCCATTAGCACTGAAATGTTGGTTGTACTTGTTCTTTTGCAATTAGATTTTCGCTTACATCCTCAGACGAGAGATCAAAGATCCCGAGTGCAGACACCTGTCTAGGAAGTTCACTGAATGGGCATATGGACCTGTCCACTCCTCTCTTTATGACCTGTCCTGTATAGACACATGTGAGAAAAATTCAGTGCTGGAGATTCTTGCCTACAGCAGTGAGACACCAGTGAGTATTGCACCTCCTCTGCATTTCATTCCCAATCTGGGGGACTGCTGGGGAAGGGATTCGTGGCCCACACAGGGCACCTTTTGCCTCCTTGCCATAAAAGAGCAACCTCCCCTCCTGAGTTTAAGGGAACATTTGCTTTAGATGGATATATTTTGTTTTTCTTTCAAAGTCTGGTACGTGCTGGTCCCAGCAAGACTCTCCTCTTTCTCCTTCTGCTCAGAACCGGCACGAGATGCTGCTGGTGGAGCCCCTTAACAGGCTCCTGCAGGACAAGTGGGACCGGTTTGTCAAGCACTTGTTTTACTTCAACTTCTTTGTCTACACCTTGCACATCAGCATCCTCACTGCAGCTGCTTACTACAGACCTGTGCAGAAGGACCAGAAGGTACGTCCCTCTGGCACGTGGCAGGGGAGCCACCCCGTGCGTGACATCCCCAATGTGCCTCCATCTGAATGTGTGCTCCTAACATCAGAAATTTCCTCTTTCCTGAAAAGAGAAGGGAGATTTTCACCCTGCTTGATTCCCTGCAGGACATTCAGAAATTTAACCTGTTCCCCCCCCACACACAATTTAGTTGCTTTCAGCTGCTGGCAGGGCCAGCTCTTTCCTGTCTCCAGTTCTGCTGAGCATATCTTCCTGTCTTACACAGCCTCCCTTCGCCTTTGGTCACACCACTGGGGAGTATTTTCGAGTGACTGGAGAGATCCTGAGTGTTCTGGGAGGCCTCTATTTTTTTTTCAGAGGGGTAAGATATTTGAAAATTTCCCTTTTGCTGTTTGTGTTGATGTAGGGGAGAGTCAAACAAGCTTTTCCTATTCATTAGCACTGGCTGCTAAAATGATCCATATTTTAGTCAAGAGCAACAAATCTTTTTCCTAGGCCTGATTAGGAATTCTCAGGCTACAAATGAGCTAAGATACAATTTTATCTATTTATAAAAAAAGGTTGTCTTTAGAAGGCAACCAGCATCTTGGCAATTAGCTTTGCCAAAGCTTAAGGATGGGGTGTTGCAAACAGCCAGCCCTTCTCTAGAGGTTACCTGGCTTAGCCCAAAGTCCCCCTTGGGGGCAGTGGAAAGGGTGCAGTGACTCCCAGGTCCTCAAACAGGGAGTGAAGAGGTTGTTGCCTTCAAAAGAGGCACCAGATGTGAGAGAATTCAAGCGTTGCTGGAAGAGTCCTCCTGACATATTGTGCCAGTGTTGTTTTTCAGCTGTTCTTGTGATTTTAATAGGTACCAGCTCCCTGGTGCAGGGATCAGGGCTTAGCTGATGCATTCACAGGGGATGGTTAATCCCTCCTTGAGGCAAACCTGGTCTTGGTTCCCTTTTCTTTCCAGATCCAATACTTCGTGCAGAGGCGCCCGTCACTCAAGACGCTGATCATTGATGGCTACAGTGAAGTTCTTTTGTAAGCTCCAATATCTTTGGTTGCATCTCAGCCACAAACAGATGTGTGTGTGAGATCTGTAGTTCTGGCTGAAGCCACCTGTAATAGGCAGATGCTTTCCTATAAATTCCTGGTCTTTACAACAGAGTAGCTGGCGGATATCACTGAACAGATGGGTCTGGGTCAGTGACCTCCCCTTTGGAGGTAAAGCAAATTAAGTGTCTGGATGTTCAGTGACTGGGTCATGCAGCAGAGTTAGGAATAGATCTCCAAGCTGGACTTACACATTGGATGTGCAGAAATCCTCCCTTTGCTAAAGGGAGCTTTTCCTCTGAACATTTGGGTCCTTCCTCTTCCCATTTGGAGCGCACTAAACAGGGGGAATCCCTCATCCTGCTGTACACCCCGTGGGGCTCCTCTGTGCCCCCCACCCGTGGCCAGCTCAGCCCTCTGCATTCAGATCTTGCTTGTCTTTCAGCTTTGTTCACTCCTTGCTCCTCCTGAGCTCTGTGGTGCTGTACTTCTGTGGTCAGGAACTCTACGTGGCTTCCATGGTGTTCTCCTTGGCCCTGGGCTGGGCCAACATGCTCTACTACACCCGTGGCTTCCAGCAGATGGGCATTTACTCTGTCATGATTGCCAAGGTCAGTGCAGGGAGGTGTGCCCAGGGTGGGACAGTGCTGCCATCAGCCCCATTTCCAGGACACATGTTCCATATCTGCCTCCAGGCTGCCACTGGGAGAGCTCAGAACACTCTGCTAAATTTGCTGGCATCTTCTGAGTGAAGTGATCAAGTTTCAGTGATGTAGATCCATACATTTTATAGCAGTCTTGATATGATGATGATGATGATGTTTACTATCTGCCATGCTTCAAAATAACTACAGTTGGACAAGCATGGATGAAAGGAGACTGAGAACAGTGCAAATTGCTCTGGAGTGAAATGATCCAGCTTTCTACCAGCTGGAAACTTCTTTAGGTGTAGTTCAAATGTTACCAAACAGAGCAATTAGCTAAGAGGCAGTAGCTGGCTAATAAACCTCTCTGTATGATGTAGACAGCCAGCCCAAGAGGGGAAGAAAGTTGTAACTGTCTTAATGTGCTTTATACTCACAAAGAGGAAACTATTTGACAGGCATATGCGTTGCACATGTGTGTAAACTTTTGCGTGAATAACAAAGAAAAATGTTTTCTGTATTAAAAGTTTATCATCTCAGCAGGATAAACAACAGTTTTTAATGCATGAACAGCCAGTTGATGCAAATGCCTCCTTGAGCTGAAGCAGGATTTACTACCAGTTTTTGTTGCAGTTCATATTCAAGTTTCAGCAATATAAAAATACTCTGGTTTCATGTTGCAGATGATCCTTAGAGATTTGTGTCGCTTCATGTTTGTCTATCTGGTGTTCCTCTTGGGATTTTCTACAGGTAAATTGGAGTTACTTTTTGTTACTTTAAAGAGTCTCAGAAAGTTTTATTTTCAAGTTGCTTAGACTTTTTGTTTCCAACTAAAAACTAAAAAAATCAGCCTAATTACAAAAAATATCTCTTCAGAATAACAATTATCTGTAGTCATTTCATACAGCTTTTCATCCCTGGGTCTTGAACTGCTTTCCAAAGCTGATGGAAAAACATTCAGTCATCCTGTTCTTTGTAGAGAAAGCTGAGGGAACACCTTCTGAGAGGTGTCAGTTATTGGGAATATTTTATAGGAGCCAATGTACTATAACGTGCTTTACCTCTATACTCATTTCGCTGCTTGCAAAGGAATTATGATCCCAAACTGCATTTTCATCCTGCCTGTGTGACTCTCCTTTTGCAACAGCTGTGGTGACTTTAATCGAAGATGACAACGAGGGGCAAGAGACGAACACCCCTGACAGTTCCCGCTGCTGCCACGTGAAACGAGGCCGCACGTCCTACAACAGCCTGTATTACACCTGCCTGGAGCTCTTCAAGTTCACCATCGGCATGGGGGACCTGGAGTTCACAGAGAACTACAGGTTCAAGTCTGTCTTTGTCATCCTCCTGGTTCTCTACGTCATCCTCACCTACATCCTCCTGCTCAACATGCTCATCGCGCTGATGGGGGAGACCGTCAACAAAATCGCCCAGGAGAGCAAGAGCATCTGGAAACTGCAGGTGTGTTGGTCTGGGAGGCCGCTATCTGAGAAAGAGGGTGTGGGAAATCATCAGGAATATCAGAGGGAATCTTTAGGAACTGTCATCTTGCTAAATAACAGGTCACTGCTTCTTTCTGATTCCCCTGAACAGCTCCTGAAAAAAGGATATTGGTTCCTTTTCCATGGCTATTTGATGTTTTGCCTGAGCAGATGTTCCCAGTGTTCCACAGATGTTCAGGGTTTAAGAGAAGAAGTACTTTTGTAATTAGACAAAATTATTTGGGCTTTTGATGATGGAAAATCCTGATCAGGCTATGCAGACAGGGATTATGCAAGGGGAAAACCAATCTTTACCAGAATCTCAAAGGCACATCAGTTTTTGTTTGAGGTAAGAAAGGGAACTTCATAGCTCTAATCACAGGGCAGTAATTTAGCATTTTTAATGACATTAACAGGGGGTGATATTTCAGAGATGGTTACAGTGGCTGCTCTAAGATGATGACAATGATAAATACTGAAGGTCTATAAAAGAAAGGCAGAATTCAGGATTTGTATGGCTCTGACCAGCAGCCTCTCAGTGTTTTGCTTTCTCTTACCTGGCAGAGAGCCATCACAATCTTGGACATCGAAAACAGCTACTTGAACTGCTTGAGGCGCTCGTTCCGCTCCGGGAAGCAAGTCCTGGTGGGGATCACACCTGATGGCCAGGATGATTACAGATGGTGCTTTAGGTAACCTGTTTGTGTGTCCAATGAGCAATCTTTTGCAGATAGACAACATTAAGGTATCTGGTGGTAGGAAGCAGATCGTTCCCCCTGGAGAACTCTTGGAAGTAGTGCGCTGATACTGCCTACAGTAGTCAGTTTAATCTGATTTTTAGGTCAGATCTGAGGCTTGAAAGGTGGCAGTTTGGGATATAAACTCATCCTGGAGTTGTCTGGTGATGCTTAGAACAGATATTGGGTTTGTTGTTCTCTCCCCAGGGTTGATGAAGTGAACTGGTCCACATGGAACACGAATCTGGGCATAATCAACGAAGACCCCGGATACTCCGGGGACCTCAGGCGGAATCCCAGTTTCTCTATTAAACCTGGCAGAGGTGAGGGTTTCAGGGACCTAAATCCTGGTGTGGGCTGCACACTGGGGACAGCAGCAGCATGGATTAATTGTTAGAGGGCACTCAGTGTTCTGCACTTAGTGGTAATTCAGTAACTAAGTTGATGTCGTTCCCAGTCAGCACAAATTCGAAGGATGAAATGGGCTCATCGCTCACAGCACTTTGACTCTTGGGAAATAAACGCCCCATAGATCTGTCATTCTGAATGAAGATTTTACAAGGCAGATAATGTGTAAATCCTGAGCCCCCAGCACAGAAGGATTGAAGTGTGCAGTCAGTCTGTGCTGGACTTGCCAGCTGGAAGATGGAAAACTCATGCAACAGCATGGGCAAGAAAACCACAAAGCCCTTTGTTCCTGCTTCTTTCTTCTTCTTCTTTCATCAGCTTCCTATTTAAACCACTTGTATATTTTGTGATTCTGTGGAGGGGGGAAAAATTAAGCATTCCTTCCTTTTGTAGTTTCAGGGAAACACTGGAAAACGTTGGTTCCGCTTTTGAGGGACGGAAGCAGGAGAGAAGATGCTCACAAGTTACCAGAGGAAGTCAAATTAAAACCTGTTTTGGAACCTTATTATGAGCCAGAAGATTCTGAGGTGTTGAAGGAGTCACTTCCAAAGTCAGTCTAATCTTGCTTTATTTTTAGGAAGAAGTTTAATTCCAGTTGTCTGTGTTGGCCCTGCTGGAAAAAGGCCAGAGGACTTAGGAAATTATAGTGTGCAAGGATTCACTAAGTATGCTCAATAAAATACTTGTTGGTTAAGCTCATGTCTTCATGGTTATTTTTAGCAGAACCTTCTGTCTGCTTTTAGAGTCTCTTTCTTGTAAGAAGTATTTTTATGAGCTGCCATACACCCTGATTTTGTGGCTTTGCTGCCTCAAAACCCAACCAAGCAAACTATTATGACACAGGAGATGGACTCATAACAGAGCAGTGAAAATCATCATAGATACATTCCTGTGAGAAAAGTTTCTTGGGAAGCAGATAAATAAATGGGACAGGGAAAGAATACAAAATAATGAATGATCTGGAGATGTTATTCTTTTCTCATAGCGCAAGGACAAATAGACTCTGTGAAATTTTAAAGGTTGAATAGTCCAAACCGATGAAATAAATGTTTCTCTTACACTGTCTGAGCAAACCCCAGAAATTCACAGTTATTGTTGCTGAGGCTGAAGGTTTAACAAGATCCCAAATGTGACATTTATTTAGATAACAGATGAACTTTGCACAAAGTAAGAGATAGTGGTGATACAGAATATATGTTTCAAAGGTCAGACATATAATAATGTACAACAATAATAATCTTGAAATCAGAAAGTTTTTGTTCTTGACTTTGACAGCAACCACAGGGGGGGAAAGAGATCTGGTGCTGCAAATCCATCTGGCTGGATTTGCAAAGATAATCAGGAAAAATATCTGACAGAGAAAATAGGCAGATTCTAAAACTCTGACTGGGGTCAGGGTTTCTCACCCTGCTCCTTTCTCATATATATTTGAATAAAATCTTCAAACATCCAGATGCTTTATTTGAAATAGTAGCACCATCTAGAGGACTAGTAATTGTTGTTTCTTTGGTTGACATCATTCAGGACAAATGTAGTTTTATTTTCACAGGGTTTGTAGGGTAGAACCAGAGAAACTTGCCAAAGGATTTGAAAGAAATGCTTGGAAAAAGTCAGGATTTAAACTGGAAATAATCAGAATTTAATGTCTCTGGTGGACAGGGAAACCACAAAGGATGTTTGAAGTAGGTGTGTTCAATTCCATACCAATTTCAATATCAAGGTAGCAATCTCTGCAGATTTATTAAGGCTTTGTTACACTCCATGCTGAACACGGCAAGAGACAATCCATGTGTGAAACAAGCACTGCCAAATAGGCAAGACAAGCTGAGACTGTAACAATTTCTTACTAAAACTATTTAGAATAGATGTAGAAAGGTGCTGACCAGTAAAACAGTTGATTGTCTCCAGGCCTTTGTGTTCCAGGACAAATTTATGCTTGGAGGGACACCAGGATCATGATATAGCTGGAAAGCATTCCTGAAAATTATTTTTTCCCTAGGAGGAATCCTTTTCTCATAATTATCAGCCTGAGTAGAGTCCTAATCCATTGCTTAAACTCCACCTTGATTTACATCAAGTGCCTGTCCAGAAGGATTGATACCTGCCCTGGGTAACCTGAACAGATTGTACACCTCTGCCTTCCTGCCCCTTCCTGCCCCAACAAGATTACAAATTACAGGAGACTTCTTAATAAAAACCAGAAATGCCAGAATTCAGGCTGAAAACAGTAATGTTGTGGTTAGGAATGTAAATTGCCTGGACTTGTGGGATAGGGTGGTGCTGGCGAGGGGTTTTTGGTTACATTTTAAAAATCCCTTAATCTTCTCTGGGAAGCAAACAAAATTATCCCACTTTTCCAGAGGGAGTTATTACCAACCTCTCAGAATTCCCAGCCATACCATCCCTCAGTTCCTGCAGTGGGCAGGAATTTGTTTCCCACAGGTGGGGAGGCAGAGCTTGGCAGTGACTCCAACCCATCATTGCCCACATTTATTCCGACTCAGCCAGGGCTGTGTTTGCCAGTTTGCTTCCTTCATTTTCATTCCAGCTCAGCACAGGGAATTACCTTCGGAGATGAAGGTGGGTCTGTCCAGGCAAACAGGGTGGGATGCCTGGAGGGGACACACCAGAAGGGACAGACTGTCATGCTGGAGAGCTCCAACTAACCCCCAGGGAAGAGAGGTGGCTTGTCAGGAAGTATTTGTCCTTCAAAAATACCTTTGCCAGCACCAGCACCTTTCTGTTCCCACTTGTAAACCACCTGCACTGAGGAGGAGCATGGCCTTGTAACAAATCATCTTCATTTGGGTCCTTTTATGGAGGTTCTGCTCACCTTGGCAGGCATATTTTGCAGGATCTTGCAGAATCTTGAGCCCTTGAGGAGTTTTTTAGTTTGAAGTTTGCAGAGTCGTTTCCCAGTGAGCGTGTTTAGAAGCAGCACCTGGTTCCCATGCTGTTCTTTGGGGCTTGCAGGTGGTAAAAATCCATCCTTCTCCCAGCTATTAGGAACATCAATTTGTGTCCCCACAAGTTGTGCTTAACATGATCAGGTTGGACAACTGTGGCAGCAGTGGCAGCTGGGGTGGGAACAGCCCTTGTGCTAATTAAACATTCCTGTTAATCCCCTCTCAGGGCAGTTTTCAGTGGGGTCCAGGGCAGAGCAGGGCCCACCAGAGGGCCCCCAAGCCATGGTTAGGGCTGCTGCTGGTCCCCCTGGGGCACCCCAGGACCGACTGGCCCCAGGACAGCCCCTCTCCTCCTGCTGCCTCTGATCATGCTAATCATTCAGATTTATATTTATTTTTGCTAAATGCCAGCTAATTCTGCCGCTCTTTTGAGGCATGTGTCTGACACTGGCACATTACTCAGTCCTGCATCTTTGCTGGAGCCCCCAGGACTCAAAAACCTCCGAGGTGTGTATGCCCAGCAAGTGCAGCTGTGCTACAAAACACAGGGGTTTAAGGGATAGAGCCAGGGCACTCGGGTTCTGATGCTTCAACTTTTCAGAATCCTGTCAATAGGAGTTTTACGTGGTGTTTTTCAACAATTTACCACTCTTCTGGTAAATTTTCCAAACTCAAGAAAATTCCATGTACATTAAAAATGCCTGAAATGCTGATGGTCAGGCAGTGTCCTGGATGCTTAACACCAACTTGCACAATTAGAAAGAATCTTCCTGCAGTCAAAGATGCTTCTTACAAGTCTCCATACCTTAGGCACAGGCATGGATTTTTCTAAGGCTTGGGAGGAAGAGGTTTTAATTGACACTGCCAGATGCAGCATGGACATCCTGGTCTTCTGGATGTGGTTATGGGGCTCTGAAGTGCTTCCCATCACCCACACCGTGCAGACTGGCACGACTTCTGACTCTGGAGGAGTTTCCACAGAGAAAATATGGACCCGATTTCTCCTATATCTGATGTTAATCCTCAGAATTCGTGGTGGAGGGCACCTATTTCTCTGGGAAGGAGGAGAAACCAACCAAGTGATGTCATTGGGTTCCTCTCTTCCTGTTGTGTTGGTGATGCTGGGGCTGAGCTGCATCACCATTAGTAACACTTCCCGTTTCAGTGTCAGGGAATGAGTGGGCTCCAGGAGACGCCAACACTTCCACAAACACCCACGTTTTCAGCCTTCATCATCACCCAGAGCAGTATTTCTCAGTCATGGCTCTAATCAGCCTCTAAAATCAACATTTTAGTCACCTGAATGTTGGTGTGAAACTCGTGTGCCCTGGAACTGCCGTGTCAGCAACTCCCAATTACAGGAACTAAAGGAAGTGTCCCACTCACCTGGCCTGTAAGAGCATGTCCCTAAGTCATCACAGGGTTATCCCAGACATTCCTCTTATTCCAGAGGAGAATGTGGATAATGAGCCACGTAGAGAGGAGGGATCCTGTTCCCAGTTATTAGTCAGAGGGGGAAAGCCAGGAGTGTTTAACTGGCACAGAGGAAGACACGAGGAAGAAAATGTCCCTTATTACCAGAAAGACACAGGAGAGCTGAGTTTAGGGCTGGAAACAGGTAAAGGTTTCTTTACTGTAGAAGTAAAAAGTGCCATCTCACGCTCTTAAAACTGCTTTTATTTTTTAACTCCAAAGGTTTCATGCCCGTGTGAGTGACTGTTCACAGCCTGTGGCCCCAGCAGCCACGACACACAGGACGGGGACAAGAAGCACCCACCACCCCACAACTCCTGTGGGGTGTGCACAGTGAGGGCTGGCAAAGGGCTCTGTGGGGCTGTACTGATGCTTTTTGCCTTGGGAGTGGCAGGGGACACTGAACAAAAGCACAAATGCAAGAAAAGAGTTATTACAGCTCCATTCTCCCCACGGCTTGTTATTATCTCATGTAACTTTACCAAGACCCAAAGTCAAATACTGATGCCACTTGCAAAAAAACGGATTTTTATTGCACTTATTTCGACTTGCTCAACACTGAATCTATCCCTGCACAGGGAATTGGCCACAGGTGTGGGGATTAGAGAGATTCAGGTGGAAGTGATCACACTGCCAGGTGGAGAGAGGGTATAATAAGGGAGGGAGGGCGGCAGCTTTCTTTCTTTGGCAAGGGTGGGGTGGGTGGAAGCTGAGATGCAGGATCAGGTTCATCTCTGCTCTGTTATTTTTAGTGCACACATTAGCACAGTTTCTGGATGCCCTGGCCATGGTTCAGACTGCTCAGATGCAGAATGTAAATGTTCATGTTCCCAAGCTCAGCTATAGGGAGGAAGAAGAGAGCAGAGACAGACTGAGGAGTGTCGTGGGCTGCTGGTTGTGATGAGCAGGAGGGAGTCCCAGGGCAGCAGCTGGACAGCTGCCTGGAGTGAGCCCAGGAAGCACAGTTTAGAGGAATAGGAATGAATTAGGATGTCTGTCTAACTATTGGGTAATTATGGCAGTCCCAACAATAATGTTGTTTCTTTGACACACTGGACTCATCCACCTTTGGGGTTTTTTTTTCCAAGCAGAAGAAGGAGCTGCACAGTGACCTGGGAGGCTCCAGGAACTCTTCTCTAGCTTTCTGTGAATGGGACTGTTCTTTTGTGGCAAGAATCCTGGGGGATAAAATCTCCAGGCATGCATGTCATGCAAATATGCACAACAACATTGCTGAAGAGGCTGACTGGTCCCTGCAGTCCAGACTGCACCAACTGGTAAGTGATACCCCAGCATTTTCCTGGAATGATTTCCCACAAGGCTGTTAGGTGATAGTCACCCACACTTCCAGGCTAATTCATTTCTCTCTCCTTGCTCAGCTGCACAAAACAACTTCT